TKTATATAATAAACTATGCAGAAGAATAAAATGTATGATAGATACAAATTTTGGATTATTTAATAAGAACAATTTCCTCTTCATATGATCAGACATCCATCCACTTGGTCAGGAAACTTCCCGGGGGCATTCGTGTTTGGAAGAGGATCATGTCGGGAACACTTGGAGGATATTTTGAGTGATTAGTATCTAGAACAAAATCTAGGCTTACTACTTCCGGTAGTTCGGATAGTTTGGTTCAGATAATCGGGTAATTCAGATAGCAATAACCTATTATAATAAGAGTTTCAAAACATCTTTTAAAGGACAGTTGCAATATCTTCATCAACTAGCAAAATATGTTTCGAAATCTAAAATTTATATCCTTCAAAAAAGTTTCTGAACAATCAACAAACTAATGACTATAACAGTTTATAAATTTTAAGATATTACACCTTATATTTTACAAAACTAATAACGATGTTCGGTAATTTGTTATGCTGCCTTTGCAAATGCAAAGTACGGATCAACTATTGTAATATTTTATTTGTTCCATTGCTTTACTTGAACAAGTTGGATGGTGGTGGGATTATCATATTAGCACTTACCATGTAAGACACTAAACATATGATTAGATACTTGTAACTAATAAATCTCAACTTTTGAGTTCCCACTAAACATAAGATATATTAGGTAATCTCCCCTGCTGCTTTTATCACCCGCTTCATTGATCCTCAATGCAATACATATCTTAAACCAGATTTATCACATTTCCACCTTACGTGGATAATATTAGTATACTGTATATAAAAAGTTATTTTAATATAATTAAACAGATTCTAGATATAAAAATTTTTCTTCAACTTTCTCTTCACCTGTGTTTTCATTATAGAGATATGGTCATCATCCATATGAAGTAAAACAATAAGTGGAACCAGACTATCACAAGTGCATAATCAAATTAAATGAACAAATCTCTCTCTTCCCAAAGACATTCCTACTTTCTACAAAGTATAAAAATTAGTTGTTTAGTGGTATCAGCTGCATAATTGGGAACACAACTGCTGAATCTGAGACGGGTTATCGCCAGAGAGCTTATACATCTCTGTTCTACCATTCGCCATACATGTCAAGTTCATCTGCTGCCCAATCTGGCTCGACTGCAACCAAATCACCAGTTCCACAATTAATCTCCGCTTTATAAACTCAAACGCAAAAACTAAGATCCGAAATCTGAAAAGTATATCGTGTTTTCTTTCAAGTATCACCGATGCAACATTGTTATATATCTACCAGATCAATGCCACATTCATATATATATACACGCTTAAGTGTAAGTACAGAGCAAGAAGGGTGGAATGAAACATGCAATCAGAAGATAGATATGCTACCTAAATAAAGCACATAAGAAATTGTTACCTCGCAGTAAACATTTTGAGATTTACAGCTCCACAGAGACGTAGGAATACAGCTGAGATAATGGCACCATGAACAATGCTTGTTCAAATCCGTTCCCCGGAGAAGTACTACGAGTCCAACAGTATACCTGACAACATATTTCATTAATTTGCATCAAAGATTTGACTGGGACCCGTATTTCATTTTGTAATCGATTCATGGTGAAAAAAAAGCATACCCTGCTATCAAAAACACTAAAGAGGTGATCCAAAGAACGTATTGGTATGGCTTGTGTTTAGATTTAGCAGACGGTGCAGCATAACCCCGAGGATTGTTCCTCTGGTTGAAGTATCCATATTGAGGACGGATCAAGAAAACAAAGCCTAGAAGAAATCCGGAAGCGAACCCTCCAAGATGGGCAAAGTTGTCTACATGTGGAAGAATACCTACTGCTAAATTAATGGCTATGATGAAGATGAGAGTCAAAAGAGCTGCAAACTGAAAATGGAGAAAACCGATAAAGCTTTTTAGACACATCATTCATGGAGATGGGAGAAAGTGAAATCATTAATGTTGTTTCCGCCAGGTTTATATTTGGCTACCTTATTTGCGTAAATAGTCCAGTTAGTGAGGAGCTCTGAAAGCATAGCACCAAGTAAACCGAATAATGCTCCAGAGGCACCGACAGATATACCAGCCCGGTTAAAAAGAGAAGATAACAAGCTTCCACCAAATCCAGAAATCATATAGAGCAATCCTATGCGTACTGTCAAGAAAAAAAGAATAGAATAGGATGAGAATATCTCAACTTTACCACAGAATACAAATAAAATGCGAGTCTTCAACATCAACCATACATATTTTGGTAGATAAATCAATTCATGATACAGTAAAAAAATGTGTAGAGTTTCACCATGAGGGAGAAAAAGCCAGACAGTAACAGATTCATCGCTAATAAATGGAGGAAGATAAACACTCAGAGAATTTAAGATGCATACCAAATCCAAATTCTTGCTCGAGCCGAATGCCAATGAAGATAAGGCTCAACATGTTAGCAAGGACATGAAAAACCCCGGCATGTAGCCATATACAAGTGAACAAGCGCCACACTTGGTGCTTATGAACCACCCTTGATACATCTAAAGCCCCCATCTTCTCTAATCTGGTATAAAAAAAACACATAATTGTAACACTTCAACACCAAAACCACCCATATATTTTCTAAACTTCATACTCAGCCACACAGTATAAGAAGAAGTTGACAAATTCCAAAGTCAATAAAAATTGTACATGAACCCACCACCATTTAATAAATCCAATCAACAGAAACCAATAAAAAAAAATCCAACATTTCAAACTCGAATCTACCCAAATTTCTCTCAAATATGGAATCTAGGGAAATAAAAGTTTCGAGATTTAGGTTACAAACGTGGAAGAAGAAGGACCCAAAAGAGGATTTTCTTTCATAGGCTGAAATGCGAATCTCCCAAGAAACCTAGCGGAGCATTTAGCCGAGTTTTTAGGGCAATTGTTGATGAACATCGAAATAGCGAAGAGAACAATGTTAGCCACCACGATTGCTGGAACCAGCCATGGAAACCAAAGCTTGAACGGTCGAAACTCCTCGAAAGAAGTCCGTTCTCTCCGCCGAAGATTCGTCGGAGATGTTTGAGCGGTCGCATTATTTGTCGGCGGATTCATAACCTTGATCTCCAGACCTTCTCGCCGATCGCGAGCCATTCGCAGAGCCAAATCTATCTTCTCTGATCCGATTCGCAGAAACAGAGCCTAAAAAGAAAGAATCGAGCTTCACGACATTGTTCAACAGAAGCGAAGGAATCACGATGGGGGACGAGAAGATGAATCAATCGTCTTTCCTCTTTTTGGGCATTCCTCGTGAGGAAGCTAATTTAAATTAATTCAAGGCAAAATATGTAAATTAGGAAACAATAATTATTAATTTTCTTATTTTAATCTTGATTAAATCACATATAGATACGAATATTAATTGCGCAACAGTAGCTTGATTAATCACATGTTCCAAAAATATATGAATCTAATAATAATAGAGTAGTTGTATAAAGAAGTAGAGTTGAAAAATAGAAAATATTCCTTTCCGTTTCTTGTAAATCCAGAAAATATGTTCCTTACCTTCGAATCCAAATGATAATTTGACTTAGCTTCTAAAACCGTCAAACACATTGATTTTAAATAGAGATTTTCGCCTAAAATACTATTTAAAAAAAAATGTTTGAAATCTATCATAAAACATAAAACATTCAAAATTTATCACAAATAACACTCTTCAAATAATGAAAACAGTATTGATATTTTTATGGTATATATTTTCGTCTACAATGTTGTCGTCTTTGTCTACCGTATCTTTCTTCGTTTTTATCCATGACCATCGTCTCCGTTTTTGTCTACTGTCGTCTCCATCCACAACCATCGTTTCCGTGTCTATCCAACATCTACCACCGGCTCCATCTTTGTCCACAACCACCAACTACGTGTTTGTCTATCACTGTCTTCGTCTCTGCCTTTAATTCTTTACTGTGACAATCAAGCTGCAATGTTCTTCTCTAAACATGATAGGGTATCTAAAGAAACCAAGGGTATGAAACTTAAATATCTATCATTGAAGCAAGATGTCAAAAGAGAAAAATTGTCATATAACACATATGCATTGATGTTATGGTTGCAGACATATTTACGAAAACTTTACCTTCAAAGATATTTCATAAGCATGCTGAAAATATGAGTGTTGAGGATAACTCTTAATTACGTTGTCTAAA